GCGCAGCTCGTCACGAATTGAACGGTGATTCCGTAATAATAGTGTGTGGGTACTCTTCAAAAGCGCTGCTGTTGTGGACACTTCGACACTCTCATGGTGCCTGGGCTAGCACATTGCAAGTTGACAGAGATAGAGATAGATAACAGTGAAATTGTGCTGTCGATTGCTTCTTCCTGAGAAAGACCGTCTGAGTCATAGAGGATAGATGATTCACGTACCCTTTCACTTCCGAACCCATTCACTTCCAAAAACCAGATGTGCGTCGAGTGCTGACCACACACCACAAGAGACTACAGCCTCCACAAACTGTAGAAGTTTTCTGACAATGAAATGATTGGAGGTAGGCGTAGTTGTGCCGGTTATGGTGCCGGTTGCAGTTGTATTCTATCAGTTGTCACTAATTACAACTATCATTTACCAACTATCAGCTATCACTATGAACCACTAGTAACCAGATTTACTTGGAGGCCGTCGTCACTTGTGGTGTGTCTGCACTCGGTACGCATCTGGTTTTCGGAAGCGGAGTATAGGTACGGTAATCCTTGGACGTGTCATAAAATCAAGTTCTTTCCAAATTCTAGAGGCATTTGAATACGGATGTGGCTCATAAAAAACAGGGAAACATCGGCCAATGTGCTAGTTAGAGGTCGATGTTTGCCCTCTAGATAGCATTCACCTTTGTCGCTTCATTCCGCTTTGTTTTGAGATAATTCATACATCCGACTTCTGTTAGGGATTTTTGGATGAGGTTTGGACCCGTTCCTGTGAAAATGGCTTCCGCCAGCGTGAAGCCGTCTTCGCGGTGTGTGTTGTTTTGAACGTCGCTGTACCCCTCTTTCCACCTGATCTGTCTCAAACCTATCTGCATGTTTGTCTTTTTTTTACCTTGCCTTAGAGTGTGTTTTCGTTCCGTCATACAGATTCAGTACCAATAAAACAACTTCACTTCATAGAAGCTTACCATTAGTTGACTCAGGCGGGATATAATAATGTCTCTATGACATAAGCGCTGCCCCGGCAAATCATTCAAGAGCAAAAACTAAAAATTAATAGTTTTCTCTGCCGCGGGCTCCCGTATGAGTAGTTTTCCATAATAGCTGAGACGACCAATGCCTGGCGAACCTGTCACCAGTGTCAACCATTCTTCGCACTATTAGAACGAGGGGGTCACATTTGTTATTTCGGGAAAAGGAGGGTTCCTTTTTGGGGTTGAGCGAGGTGAATGATTCTTGGAGAAGTGCGAACGGTGGTGCTTAAAAGGGGTTGATATATAGACGAGTAGTTGA